GTAGTATTAGTAGTAGTAGTAATAGTAGTAATCGTAAAAGTAGTAGTAGTCGTAGCAGAAGTAGTGGTAGTAGGGGGTGTAGTAGTAGTAGTGGTAGCCATCGTACTAATAGTCGTAGTAGTAGTAGTAGTAGTAATAACAGTAATAGTAGTAGTAGTAGTAGTAGTAGTAGTGGTAGTAGTAGTAGTAGTAGTAGTAGTAGGGGCAGTAGTAGCAACAGTAGTAGAACCAATAGTAGTACTAGTAATAGGAATAGTAACCGTAAAAATATGAGTGGCGTCGGTAACAATAATGATAGGTAGTAAAAAGGTAGTAATAATTAGTAAGTAGTAGGTAGTAGGTAGTAGGTCGTATAGTAGTAGTAGGCGTCGTTGCAGCCGTAGTCGTAGTGATAGTAGTAGTAGTAGTAGTAGTAGTAGTAGTGACCGTTGTAGTAGCAGTAGTCGTGATAGTAGCAGTAGCAATAGTAGTAGTAGTAGTAGTAGTAAGAATAAAAGTAGCCATGGCCGTAGTCGGCATCTAAAGGGGCACAGTTAGAGTAGCAGTAGCAGTAGTAGTCGTAGTAGCAAAAGTAGAAGTAGTAGCAACAATATGTGTAACAGTCTTCGCCGTAGTAGTAGTATCAGTCGGAGTAGGAGAATAAGACCTATAGAAGCCGTATAGTAGTAGCCGTCGTAGTCGTAGTCGTAGTAGTAGCAGTAGTAGCAGTAGTAGTAGTAGTAGTAGTAGTAGCAGTAGTAGTAGCAGTAGTAGATATAGTAGTAGTAGCAGTCGCAGTGGTAGTGGTAGTAGTGGTGGTGGTCGTGGTGGTAGTAATCGTGGCTGCAGTGCAGGACCAGGTGGTAGCAGCACCCGTACTAGTAGTAGTAGCAGTAGTAGTAGTAGTAGTCGTCGTCATCGTAGTCGTCGTCGTAGTCGCAGTGGTAGTAAAAGAAGGGGTAGTAGTAGCGGCAGCGGTAAGCGTAAACTTTGTAGTGTTGGGGTAATAGCACCAGTCCTAATCGAAGCAATAACTGTTGTAGTCCGTAGTCGTCGTGGAAGTAGCAGTAGTAGTAGCAGTAGTCGCAGTAATAGTAGTAGCAGTGCCAGTAGTGGTAGTAGGCGTAGAAGTGGTCGTAGGAGTAGTCCTAACAGTAGTGGTCGTCGAAGAAGAAGTAGTAATAGGTAGTAGTAGCAGCAGTAGTGGTAGTAGTAGTAGTAGTTGTAGTGGTAGTAGTGGCCCAAGTAGTCGTAGTAGTCGTCGTCGTCGTGGTCTTCGCCGTCGTCGTCGTCGTCGTCGCAGTCGTACGTGTAGCCGTAGTCGTAGCAGTAGTGGTAGTAGTAGTAGTAGTAGTAGTAGCAGTAGCAGTAGTAGTCGTAGTAGTAGTAGTAGTAGTAGTAGTAGTAGTAGTAGTAGTAGTAGAAGTAGTAGTAGTAGTAGTGGTAGTAGTAGCAGCAGTAGTAGTAGTATTAGTAGCAGTGGTAGCAGTAGCAGCAGACGTAGCAGCAACAGTAGTCGTAGTAGTGAGAAAAAAGAGAAACAACAGCAACAGCAGTCATCGCAGTAGTGCCAGTAGTAGCGTTAGTAGTAATAGCAGTAGTATGTCGTAGCAGTAGTAGTGGTATTATTAGTAGTAGCCGTAGAAGTGGTAGTAGTAGTAGTAATAGTAGTCGCCGTAGTGGTCGTAGTAGTGCACATACTAGTAGCAGCCGCAGTTTTAGTAGAGGTTGTAGTGGTTGCAGTAGTAGTAGCAATACTAGTAGAAATCGTAGTAATAGCAGTATGGGGTACTAATAGTATTCGTAGTTGTAAACAAACTAGTAGTAGGAGTAGTAGTAGTAGTAGTAGTAGTAGTAGTAGTAGTAATGGTAGTAGTGGCGAGTACTCAAAATGGTAGTAGTCGTAGTCTGCATGGTCGCCGTTGTACGAGTAGTCGTGAAGTAGCAGTAGTAGTAGTAGTAGTAGCAGCAGTAATAGTAGTACTCGTTGTAGTCGTCGTAGCAGTAGTAGTAACAATACTCGTGTAGTAGTAGTATAAGTAATAGTAGATGTGGTAATAGTAGTGGTAGTAGTAGTAGTAGCCGTAATACTAATAAAGATAGCAGTCGTAGTGGTAGTAATAGACTTCGTACTAGTAGTAGTAGTGGTGGTAGTAGTAGTAGTAGTAATAGTAGTGGTGGTACTGGTAGTAATAGTCGTAGTATGAGTACTAGTAATAGTAGTAGCCATAGTAGTGGTAATAGTAAAGGTGTGTAGTAGCAGTAGGAGTGGCAGTAGTAGTAGTAGTAGTAGTAGTAAAAGTAGTCGTAGTAGTAGTAGTAGTAGTAGTAGAAGTCGTAGAAACAATCGTAGTAGTACTGGTACTAGTAGTAGTAATAGCACTAGTATTAGTAGCCGTTGCCGCTGTAGTAGTAATAGTAATATCAATCGTAATGGTAGAGTTTGTAGTTGAGGCAGTAGTAACACTAGTAGTGGCAGTAGTGGTAGTAGTAGTAGTAGTAGTAGTAGTAGTAGTAGTGGTAGTAGTAGTAGCAGTAGTAGTAGTAGTAGTAGAGGCAATAGCAGTAGTGACAATATTAATCGTAGTCGTAATAGTCGTAGTCGGATTAGTCGTAGTAATGGTAGTAGTCGTAGTCTCAGTAGTAGTAGTAGTAGTAGTAGTAGTAGTAGTAGTAGTAGTAGTAGTAGTAGTAGTAGTAATAGTAGTCGTCGTAGTCGTAGTCGTAGTCGTAGTCGTAGTAGTAGTAGTAGTAGTAGTAGTAGTAGTCGTAGTAGTAGTAGTAGTAGTAGTAGTAGTAGTAGTAGTAGTAGTAGTAGTAGTAGTAGTACCTGTAGCAGTAGTAGTAGCAGCAGCAGCAGTCGTAGTAGTAGCAGCAGTAGTAGTAGTAGTAGTCGTAGCCATTGTAGTGGTGGAGGTGGTGGTAGTGATCAGGATAGTAATAGTAGTAGTGGCAATAGGAAGACGAAGAAGAAAAACAATCAGAAGAAGAGGAACAAGGACAAAAGGGTTCCGTTTCCGATTCCCCACGAATTTTTCATCGGAACCTCCCAAGGGTTTGGTTCCCGTGCTTCCTCCGCGACTGCATTTGAGTTTTGTGCCCATGTCACTGTTCCCTCGCTTTCGTCGTCCTCCCCTCCTCCTCCTCCTCCTCCTCCTCCTCCTCCTCCTCCTCCTCACCATCATCCCACGCGGACGCTGTCTTGAACACATCTCCAGTATGTTCACACTATGACAGCACTGCCCGGCAGATTTACGAATGGTGTCAGTCGTCCCCAACATATGATGGGCAACGCATTTGTTGGCGAACTTGCGGGCCAGGCCTGGCAGCAGGCCAGGCTCGTGTCCACGAGCTCAAACGACAAAGGATCTTTCGTCACGAAAGAGGTGCGCCGCGCTTGGTGCGCGTAAGACTGCTGCGAGCCTAGGTCGATAATCTGGCCAGAAAGAAGGAGCTGGTGCAGCTTGTGAGAAAGATCAGGGGCCCTCTGCCGCCCGCCCCCTCCCATCTCCTCCGTGGCCTCCGGCTGCTCTCTCGCCGCCCTGGTCTCCAGACATCGGCGGACGAGATGCAAGCCCGAAAACGACAAGTGCATCGAGTCCGCGTCGGTGGCTACGCCAGAGGAGTGGCGCGTCTCCGACTGCACCCAACTCACAAGCGCAGGTGGCGTTTACCTTCTGCCCTGCCAGCGGAGGGCGGCTCCCGGATGTCGGGGGGGGGGGGGGGGCGGGCCGGCTGCATCCGTCTCGCCCCCACAGCGTGCACGGCGATGCGGAGTGGGTCTCTGCGGGCGGAAAAGGGCCGCGGCCGACAAGCAGCTACGTCTCTTGGGGTAAGCCCTGCCCTCACGTCCACTCGTCGCGTCACTCGCCCTCCTCCTCCTCCTCCTCCTCCTCCCTCCTCCTCCTCCTCCTCCTCCTCCTCCTCCTCCTCCTCCTCCTCCTCCTCCTCCTCCCTCCTCCCTCCTCCCTCCTCCCTCCTCCTCCTCCTCCTCCTCATCCTCCTCCTCCTCCTCGTCATCGGCAAAGCAAGTGAAACCCTGAAAGCCCTCCGCACAGCCAGGCAGGCCAGGCGGGACCGAACTTGTTTCATGGATCGGCACTGGCGTCGCCACTGGTTCCTATCCTTGGTCTTCCTATCGGCGGCGCGCGAGGGGGGGAAGTGCGAAGGAGAAGGCCTTCTCAAAAGGCGGCGGGACTTCTCAGAAGCCCCCGCGCCTGCTGAGAAAGTGTTGCTTGTCTTCGGGGAAGGCTCCGGAAACTTCTCAGAAGGCTGGGCGGCTTTCGAACCTCCTGAGGAGGCCTTCTCCTTCTGACTTCCCCCCCTCGCTCGCCGCCGATCAAACCCCTCCTCGACCACCCAACCAGCCGATGGCGACCGTACCTGGGGGGCCAATCCTCTGATTCGAAGCAACGGCGCCTACGTGTGCTCTCGACAATGACGTTTGGGCGCGGACGCGACGTAGTGCGTGGCAGGAGAAGGACGGGGCACGCATCCCGTGCGAAGTGGCGAACCGTCGCTCTCACCCCGACGCCGCGCTCGTTTTCCTGAGAATTGAGCTCCCGCTGTGGTGCGGCGCACATTAGTTCGCTCGCCGACTCGTCCGCGCGCGCGGACGAAAATGTCGTTCCCCGCCGCGGTCCCCGCCCTAGCACCGCGCAGACTTCGCCTGACAATGGCGCTCCAGCCTCGGCGCAATGATATCCCGCCCAATTTTGGGGGCCCCGTGTGCGAGCGGGCAACTTGGCACCGTCACCCGAATTCCGTGCACATTTCGCTTGGAACTGGAGTTCCCGCGTGGGCGTGGAGCATGGTTACGCCGCCAAGTCGCACGAGCGCGGCAGCGGCAGCGGGGCCGCACGCGAGCGGGTGAAATGCGGTCTTCGCCCAAGCGCCGCGCAGTCTGCGTGAAAGTGGCAATTTTGATTCGACGCGACGCGTGCTTCGCCTTCGCCGCACTCATCCGAAGTTCGCCGCTCCCGCCCTTTCGCGGCCCGCATAGCTTTCCCTTCGTCAAGTCGTCAGATGCGGGACCGCGCGCGGGCGCCTTCCGTTTCATAGCTGGAAACGCGTTCCAATACAAATGCCAAACTATGCCACAATTTACCAAACTGTGCTTGCACGTAGGGCCCTTGCTTTACTTAGGGCTTTGGCGGGTATCCCGATTTTTGTTTTGGGTGGCCGCCCCGTGACCGTCCGTGCCAGCCCAACCTAGATTGCATCACCTATCTTGCACCACATGGGCTACAACGTGCAATAGAGCTTGCACCACGTAGATATTGCATCACGGAACTTACGCCACAAAGCTTGCACCACCATGCAACTTGCACCTCCTAGCTTGCACCGCATCCCGTACAACACATAGTTTGCTTGCACCGCATTGCTTACACTACAGCTTGCACCACACAGCTTGCATAAACACTGAGCAACATTTTTTCCCCAGGCGGTGCTGGCATTCAGGGGTTCTTACTTCCCCTTAAAAGGAATTGGTTTGGTCCAATGAAGTTCCTCGACACTGCCGCCCGTTACCGTATCGTTGCCGCCTCGTGCGCTGGGTGGATCTGGCGAAGTTTCGCCACGTTGCCGCCCGTGACCGCCTCCAGCTTACACCACGCACACTGACTGCACCACACAACTTGCACCACACAGCTTGCACCACATAGCTTGCACAACCACAGTGCAATAACTTACTGTTTGGGGTCCAAGCTGGCTAACATGTCTCATTATGGGTTCTGGTGTCATGAAGAGGGTGGGACGGTAGGACCGGGCGGGGCCCGCTGACTCGCTCGACCAGGCTGACTTTCGGGAACCAAGCAATGACATAATTAAGCCTGATTCGTCGGAGATCCTCGCGGACTTCTCGGATCGGCGCTGCATCCCCCTCCCTGTCGCGCGGGGCGGCGCCAGAGGCGCCGCCAGGGGGCTCAGCGCAGATTCAAGAACTCAGGGCTGACCGCCGAAAGTTCATGTGTCTGCAATGTTTCTTCTCCGATCTTCCGCCCCCACGCCGCGCGGGCGCCGTGGGCTGCCCCGGGGAGGTCCTCCGCAGCCCCTCCTCCGGGACTGCCCCGCGGGGGATGCGGGGCGGGCCGACCTTCCACTCGGACCGCGCTGCGGCCTCGTGGACGGTGGTGGAAGTTGTGCATGGGCGCTGCCCGCCCGGGCGCGGCGCAGCGCAGGCGAGGCAGGCACGCCCCGTGCGAAACAGGTGGGACAGCAACAGCCTCATCTCGTCCTCCTCGTCCTCCTGCTCCTCGTCCTCGTGCTTCTCATCCTCCTCGTCCCCGTCGTCCCCGTCGTCGTCGTCCTCCTCCTCCTCCTCCTAGTCGTCGTCGTCCTCCAGTCCGCGGCCCTGGCACCGCGTCTGGCGTCCACCGGGGCCAGGCGCGTCGGCCGGAGGGCCCGAGCCCGCCACCAGAGGGGCGTGCGCCCATCAAGGAGCTGCTTCTGAACACCCGGGCGGCAGGCGCCAGACCACCTGGCTGTTGATAGGGCAGCAGGGTCCACGTCGCAGGGGGCGCAACAAGCTCCGTCCTGTGTAGCCGCCACGATGGCATATAGCTCAAACTTGTGGAAGAGCCGACTGCACCGTATGGGGGGGGAGGGTGCTGGAACTTGTGAAAGCGCGGTGAACGAACTCTGACCAGAGAGTGTAACATGACCAGCTCTGGCCGAAGGAAAGATGAGCCCGAGACAAGGGAGGAACCTCCTCCTCCTCCTCCGCCTTTCCCTCCCTCCTCGCCGTCACTGTCGCCGTCGCCGCGGTGGGGCCTTTGCGCCCGCCTCGCCCGGAGGACCTCCACTCCACATGGCGCTAATGGCCGTGCCGCCGGCGAGGTCGGCGCCGCGTGCCTCCAGCAGGCTCCTTCGGGGGAGGAAGAGGAGGAGGATCAGGAGGAGGAGGAGGAGGAGGAGGAGGAATAAGAAGAGCATGCAGCATGAGGAGGAGGAGGAGGAGGAATAAGAAGAGAGGGAGGAGGAGGAGGAGGAGAAGGAGGAGGAGGAGGAAGAGAAGGAGGAGGATGGGGGAGGGGGGCACATCGCACGATGGGGGGGGCATCCTGTCCTCTCCTCTCCTTTCCTCTCCTCTCCTCTCCTCTCCTCTCCTCTCCCCTCCCCTCCCCTCCTCTCCTCTCCTCTCCTCTCCTCTCCTCTCCTCGTCGGTGGTTCAAAGATAGGGGGCCCGAAGGCTGGGTGGGGTCCTCAGGGCGAGGTGCCTCAAGCACTGTGAATCCACCCTCTTCGCCCCCCTCCCATCCTTAGAGGCCTCCTAAATGGGGTCCGAATAGACGAGGTCGAAGGATCGCTCTGCATCGCGAATGCATCGCCGATGTATCGGCTATGCATCGGTTATGCATCGGCGACCCCAGCGTGGATAATATTGAGCTCCACATGGAGCCGCATCGCCGATGCATCGACGACACGGCACGATCCTCCGACCCCATATACTCCGACCTCATCTGGGAGGCCTAGACTCACACATGACCCCATCTTTGAACAACCACCGACCTCTGTATGTTTATGGCGCTCTGTCCCCGAATAGCGTTTCGCTAGAGGGCTTTCATCGTGGCAAAGAGGACCACAGAAGGGCCTCACATGGGGGACGTGGAGCCCCGGACAGCCCAGCCCGGCAGCCGCTTCGCCAGAGACTTCCTCACACTGTCTTCACGAATCGTGCCCTCTCGCCGCATTACTGGCGACGCGATTGGCCCAGACGGTCACGATCTGTAGTAAACAATTGCACTGAGGTGCACATGGCCGTCTCGACGACTCTCCTCTTCCCCTCGGCCGCTATGAGGATGCCTTGCTGGGGTTATGCCCCCCGAAACCGACCCGAATTCCAGCAGACTCGAATCTTACAGTTCCCCGCATCGGGCAAATCGGCACTCGGCGACTCCGACGGGTGTGGCTCGCAGAGGATGCGGCTTGCAGCGCGCGCCCCGGGGCGGGCGCGGACCTCGACGGAGCTCTCAGCCGCGCCCCAGGAGGCCCAACGAGGGCAGCGTGGTGCCCCCCGCAGGCCCCGAAGATGCATCGGGGATGCACTCACCCCGGGCCAGCGCGAACCCGAGCCAGCCCAAACCCTGCCGCGAAGCCCAGCTGGCCACGAGCTGGCTCCCCAACCTGGGTTGGCCGAGGGCGGAGCAGGGGACCGGCCCCGCGTGGCTCCCAAGCCTGGGGCAGCCAGGCTGGATTGGCCGATCCCCGCTCGCGCTGACCCCGAATTGCGGCAGGCGCGCATCGTGTCGACCCCGGCGTTGGCTCCTGACACCGGGATCGGTCAAGCTTGAACGATCGGCCGTTTCAGAAACGCCGGGTCGTTCAACGATGGGCCGCGCCGGGGTCGCCGCCGGTCGACGCGGCACGAACCTAGAGTATGTGAGCCCCAACGGCGCGGATCGCAAACCGCACCCCAGCGTAAGCGCACCCTTTGTCATCGATCCAAGGCAGGGCCGCGCGCGATGTCGAGCCGATCTGTCGGCAGTCCCAGCTCCTCCACGCGGGCGCCCTGTCCAGCCGCAGCCAGAAGCAGGCGGAGGAGGCGCCGAAGGCCTCCAAGGAGGGGGGGGGAGGAGGAGGAGGAGGTGGAGGAGGAGTAGGAAGAGGAGACGGAAGAGGAGGCGGAGGAGGAAGAGACGGAGGAGGAGGAGGAGGAAGAAATGGAGGAGGAGGCGCATCCACCGAAGAGGGGGGGAGGGAGAGGTCCGATCCATCCTCCTACCCACCAGGCTGGAGCGGCGCCTGAAGCCGACCGCGAAGAAGCGCAGCTGCTCGGTGTGAACGCCGAGCCGCCGCCCGCAGACGGGAATGGATTACTGCGCGAAAGCAGGCGACGGTGCGGATGCACGAGCTCGCAACACCCAGAATGCATTGTGGACTGCATCGAAGGCCAAACGAATGCTCAACATGGCCTCAGTGTCGGCAGGAAAAAATGGGAGAAAGCAGGCAAATGGGTTACTACCACATTCTTCACGGAGGAATCTCAATTTACTTTTGAGGAGATTGCAGCTAACAAGGCACACAACATAATGAAACCAACCGCCCCCACAGGATTTCCCACAGCCGACTCGACACGCGCGAAGGATACACCTGTACCTACGGGGCGTGTTCCAGGCATGAAATATAAGCTGAATTCGACTAGTCATGCAGTGCGACGGAAGGTATTTAGCACAGATGTTTACACGCATAACACATGTCTAGAATGTGATTACAGGGCTGACCGATCCATTTCTTCACCAGTGGTTTGACTATTGCAGTACACCTCGGAGACGGATTGGCACGAATCAGAGTCATGCTCATGACGGACTGCATGTTCATGTTAGAAGTATTGTCTGGTAGCTGGTACACAGCGTCGAACGAGTGATATGCTTCGCTCATGGCAACTAAGATCGGGTCATTGGCGATCGGTTGCCGCCTCCAGAGAATGCGCGCGTTGTCCTCCTCTGCCCCCCTCCTCGTCCAATCGTCATACGGTTGAAACACCTGGCTGCGGGTTGCCGCTCTGGTCGTGCTTGCGCGCGCAAGAATATCAAGCCGTCGCGCGCATATTCCGTGGCCGAGCTCGTCGAGGTGTTGTAGCCCAAGTTGGTCAGAACGGGCACCCGGCTTCTATCCCGACTCCCAATCCCCTCGCCCGCCCCCAGGTACCACCCACAACACGATGCAGCAAATTGACGAATCCGAATCCCTGCTTCTCTACATAGTGGGCCAGCCTCCCCAGGGGTCGCACGATCTGGGAAAACCAGCCAGCACTTCGGGAGGTTGAGGATCGGCCCCGCGGCCAACCCCGCGCGGAACAGCGCCTCACAAAGCAACGGCAGGGCGGAGACGAGATCTGAGCTGCAGGCGCTTAAGCCGTCGGCGAAAAAAACTGAGCACGATCGGCAGCTGGAAGGGGTGTTCGCGTAGCTTTACGATGACCGCGTCAAAGCAAAGACGCAAAATACTCCCACTTAGCGGGCGCCCTTGTTTCACCCCGCGCTCGCACATGATGACGCACTTGTTTGACCCAGCGAATACGACGTACACCTTACAGTTGCAGTATACAGATTCAGCGACACGCACGACATGACGAAGACCCCAGAGCACGCAACACCCCAAATATGAGCTGCTATCATATGCTCGGGAAGGCGGCCTTCAGGTCGAACACCGCAGCACCGCTCGTTCCTGGTCATACATACCTTGCCAACTCATTAAGTTGGCATCCATCTATGTAACATTGTCAACCAACTGTCGGCCCATCAGGAACGCACGCTGCGATGGGTGAACCTAGTCGCCAGCAGCTTTACCATATGCGACTGCGATGCGCGAACTGCGCTGTCATTCGTGTCGCCTTTGGCAAGGAAAGAAGCGCTGGGCTCTGAAGAATTCTCAGGCATCTCCCCCTCGTCCATTATGTGAACGCACACACTGTAAAGGCAGTCCCATCCCACCTCCCCAGAAGCAATCCAAGCTGAGAGCGGTCGGCCATCTGGGCCAGGCGCAGAGTCCACCTCGGCATTTAAACTACTGCGGAATCAACGCCCAGGCAGGGTCTAAGGATAGAGCACCCGTCGTTTGCACGACACTGGTACTCGCCATCAGGGATGGGGGAAACCACGTCGAGCAGCTTTGCCATGGCCGCGGGGCTCGGGGTGCCTGCTTTAAAAACATCTCCCCGATGGTCACACAATAGTTTGTCACATTCATATGGATCATCTTTCGGGTTGCCATCCAAGTCTGCAATCTGCCGCAAAAAGATCTGCCTGCCCGAAGAGCGCCGCGCGAGAGACATTCTTTTACTTATGGCAATATGTGCTGCTGCTCTGGCGTTTCCTGATCTCGCGCCTCTAGCTTCGCGAGAAAGCAGATGCCTCTCCTTGACGTCCAGACACTCGCGCATGCGCAGGCCTAGGAGCTCGTCAAATCCTGGGCGGTCGCACCATCAGTCACCGCGGGGGCCCATGCACTCGCGAAGTTCGGGGCGCCCTTTGAGCCCTCGGGAGACTTCGCGGGGGCCACCAAGTCGAGCGCCACGAAAAACAAGCAACATGCAGGTCACCTTCTCTCCAGGGGACCTCGCCCCTTTCTCTGGTGCAAATGAGCGAAGTTCCCGACGGCCAGACCCCAAGACCTCTTTGATCTCCTCGAGCCTCGTGAACACATCCTCCGAGAGCACGGCATCTTCCAAGAACTCCGGAATCGCTTCCTTGAGTTTCCGCTGTTTAGATACCCGCGTCGGGGTCCTGCAAGGGCCTTCAGGGGGGCATTCTGATTGCGCAGCATATACAAATGCATGGTCGGATGGGGCCGTTAAGTCGGCGATGGGCAACGCAGTGCCGGCACGCGGGCAACAGTCAAGAACTTCTTGAGTACTTAAACTTAAAACTAGTGTAGATCCCGTCTAGCCTGCCATCGGATATGTCATGCCCACGAACAATGCGACGCGCGTCGTGCTCTTGCGCAAGCTCACCTAGATGCGGCAGACAGGATGTATAAGCAGACGCGGGCCGATTCGTGGACGGTCCCTCTTCTCCAGTCGTGGCACGCAGGCGTGATTCACCCAGCGCTGGAAAGTTGAAGTCTCCAAAGACGTAGGTAATGGAAGTGGGGGGGAACGAGATAGCACTACGTAGGCGCTCAGAGATCCCCTCAGTTTCACCTTCGCCCCGGCCTGGAACAGTCTGTATATTGAACAACTGCACGGGGCTCCGAGACCCCTCCAAGGAGATACCGAGCGCACGCCCAGCACATAGGTAATGAACATCAGCGCGATTGAAAAGGCCCAGCAGTGCACGGGACATGAAAAGGACGACCCCGCCAGCATTCGCCGAGGAACAGAACGAACCGAATGGAACATGCGACTTCACGTCCTTCTTACACTGGTCTATATCTCCTGGGCCCCCGTGACTCTCCTGCAATCCAACAGCATCGCGTTTGGCAAGAAGGGCACGAAGCTTACAATACTTATTACTAAGGCACTGCTGGTCGGTGAAGACCGACCCGAAAACCGTCTGACAATTCCACGTGGCAGCGCTGAAAAATGCTGGAGAACCTGACTGGGTTATAACAAGACGAAGGAGAGGGAGGAGAGGAAACGCTGCTGGGCGGCAAACTTACACACACACACGCACACACGCTGGCTTCAGCAAACTCTGCGCCTTCGCCCACCTCTGACACCGACCCCTCCGCCGCCAGAGTACTCTCTCGCCGATTGTGCTGCGGCTGTGCAATCTAACGCACCGCCTGGGAAGCTGCCTCTATGATCGCAGGTGCACGATCGCTGTTGATGCCCCACTCCTCACATTTCTCGACGATCAGATGGAACTCCTCGGTCTGGCTTCCTTTCTTTGAACATTGCACCAACTCCCAGACGTAATCATTCGAGCGCACAGTGAGAACCGCTTTGAAGCCGTTGGTTCCGAATCGGCACGTCGGGCCCCATTTACTCGACATCTTCAACTCTGCCAAAAATCTTTCGGAAGTAGCATTGAATGCACGCTGGCGCATTTACATCAATCGGAAGATCCTGGCGGCACCTGGTGGCCGCGAGCTCCTTGGTCCTAGGATCGATGCACTCGTGGCCGCCGTCCTCACTGCACCTGGCTTGGAAGGTCTTGGGTGCCACCACCGTCTGGGGTGTGACCTTGCAGCTCCGGGGGACACCGTGGTCAAAGACCTGCACATTCTCGAGCATGTGCCCGCATCTCCGCTCAATCGTCTCTTTGTCGTGCTTTTCCTGAACTGACCAAAGGACTGGGCGAGGGAACGTGCCGATGAATCGCGCCTTCGGGTCGACAGGGTTTTGACCACTAGGACTCCTTCCTCTAGCAATCGACATCTCTCCCACGACCTCCCAAGGGCCACTAGAGCCGCCACCACCATCTGATGCCAATGATGCCCGCGACGACCCCGCACGTAGAACATTCAGCTGCTGCTGCTGCTGCTGCATGCGCTCCAACTGCACGTCAGATGCGGCACCCACTGCTGTGGCGAGTGACCCCGACGCTTTCCCCACAACTTTCAATCGATCGTGGACATGCTGCAGATTCTTGTCATATCTATGCATGACACCACGGAGCATCTGAAACTCTTGCTGAACATTCTGATCCATGGTGGTGAGCTTACTGCTGGTCGATTTCACCTCCTCGACCATCTCCTTCATCCAGCTGGGCGGCCTCTCGGGCTCAGGGCTGCTGTCGATGTGGATCCTGTGGTGGCTGCGATCACGACGATCTCTGCTGCCAGAACTCGCACCTCGTCTGCTTCGACTTGCTGCAGAAGATGCATGCGGACTCAAGCTCGGTGAACGATCAAGAGAGAAGGAATCGCAGCCACCTCTCCTGCAAGCATTCTTCACCCTCAAACCCATGGTGCTGGCGCGGAACGCACTGCCCCGACCAGGAACTGGAAAGGACACAATTTACCCAGCCAAGGCAATGCAGAAAAGACTGGCAGATGCCGAAACGTACCGTGCTTTGGCGCACGAAGTGGAGAAGATTTTGGGGGCTGTCCCCAAGAGCTGGATCCTGAGCCTCCCCTCGGCGAGGACCAAACTCGAAGCGCCAGGGACGCGTTTCGAACTTGAGCCAAAATGGCTTGAGCCAAACTTGCTACGGAAGAAATGGAGGAGGAGGAGGAGGAGGAGAGGAGGAGGGGGAGGAGGAGGAAGAGGAGGAGGAGGACATGCAGAGGAGGAGAGAAGGAGAAGGAGGAGATCCGTAGCCATAGCCATTTTGGTTCAAGGTCCGCAGCTTGAGGCTCAAGGGCCGAGAGTTTGAGACATCGGAGGTTTCGCGGCTCTGGCCACCTTCCTTACTCTCCGGTCTGGACGTTCTTCGGACATCTCTTTCCTCGCATGTTTCTCCAGGCTCGTCTGATGTTCTGAACTCTCGGCTACCATCGCAATCAAAAGGCACCAGAAAGACTTCAACTGGACTGGATGTGCAAAACTTGTGTTAGACATTTAGGTTTAACCCCTATTCACCTTGGCCTCCAATTTCAAGCGCGGTAGGTGCCGTGTCCGCACGCGAGCGTGTTTTTCTAACGGAACCTTTGAACTCTGCCGGCCCCCTCGGCCTTGGCCAAGCGTCGGCCCCCTTAGGCCGATTGGGATGTCGGGGGGAACCAGGTCCAGAGGCCTCCTAGATGGGGTCGGGGTAGATGGGGTCGGAGGATCGCGCCGCATCGCCGATACATCGGCGATGCATCGGCGATGCATCGGCAATGCCCTGGCGATTCATCGTCGACGTCGGCGATGATTCGGCGACGTCGATGTGAAGCAAGTTGGGCTGCACGTCGAGCCGCATCGGCGATGCATGGGCGATGCGGCGCGATCCTTCGACTCCATCTGCTGCGACCCCACCTAGGACGCATAGCAGGTCGCAGGAGAAGCTTCGTACGGCGCAATCTCGCACCTCGTCTCTCGGAGCGCCGCTGGCGGATCAAAAGTCCCACAATGCGATGGATCCATGGAGGGCAATGGAAGCGCCGCCGCCAGGCGTGGCGATGGCGGCTTGGAGCAGATGCCGGCTAGAGTGGCAAGCGTGTCACTGGAGCTTGCCGGTCTGGCGAAGATCGTGAGGGCCAGCACTAGGTCGGGCGTGTCCTCCTACTCCTACAGGCGGGTTTTGGACGAAAATAAAAAGTAGCCAAATGAATGCTCAAAAATGGTCACAAATGATCGAAACATCGTCCCCAGACTGTTTTTTTGTACCATCTCTGAAACATCCTCCTGTAGAGGGACATGCACGACTTGAGGCCAGCAGCTCTCCTCGGATCGAGGGGCGTGTGGAAGGAGGCCCGAGAGCGGAGACGGAGAATGACACGCAAGGGCTGCTCTGAGGGAGCCCCTCGGCCTCGCCGAGGGCAAACGGGGAGGAGGAGGAGGAGGAGGAGGAGGAGCAGGAGGAGAAGGAGGAGAAGGAGGAGGGGGAGGACGAGGAGGAGGAGGAGGAGGAGGAGGAGGAGCGAGGAGGAGAAGGAGGGAGCTGGAGGAGGACGGGGAGGCAGAGGAGGGAAGAGGAGGAGTGCAAGCAGGAGGAGGAGGAGGAGGAGGAGGAGGAGGAGGGAGGAGGAGGAGGAGGAGGAGAAGGAGGAGGAGGAGGAGGAGGAGGAGGAGAAATCGTCGAAGGCCTGCTGCGAGTAGTGCAGCATCTTGCACGCCTCGGCCGGCCAACACTGCCACGGCGCCGCAACGGGGGGCGGGGAAGGGGATTCGGGACATGGATGGGGTCTACCAGGGCAGGGGCCAAGGAGGCAAGAGGCGCTCCCCCCTCCACGAGTACCCCCTAATTCCGTGTTCACCTCCTCCTCGTCCTCCTTCTCGTCGTTCTCCTCCTACTCCTGCTCCTCCTGGTCCTCCTCCTCTTCCTGCTGGTCATGTTCATGCTCCTATTCTTCCTCCTCTTCCTCTTTCCCATCTCTTCCTCCTGCCCCCCTCAACGCCTCCTCCGACTTTCCCTCCGCATCCTCCTTCTCAGCCTCCTTCTGCCCGCCCCATCCCCTTACTCCTCCTCCTCCCCCTCCTCCTCTTCTGCTTCTTCCTCTTCCGCTTCCTCATTCTTCGTCTCGTTCCGTCCTCCTCCACCTCGTCCTCATCGTCCCTATCCTCGTCCCCCTCGTCTTCATCGCCCTCCTCGTCCTCATCCTCATCCTCGTCCTCGTCGCCGCCGTCGTCGTCGCCGCAAACGTCGTCCCCTAGGCCGCCCCTTCCGAGACCGTGGACCCCCTCTGGGGTGCCACCGTCGGGCTTTCGGTATGCTAGGGGAACGCCTCCACGAAGGGCCTGAGGGCGCTGGAGAAGTCCTCGCCAGGTAGGGCGAGGGGGGCGAGGAAGGGCTGGAGGATGAGGATGAAGATGCGGAGGGGGAGAAGGAAGAGAGAAGGGAGCAAGGGTAACGAGGAGGGGGGGGGATGCAGGAGGCGAATGAGAAAGAGGGAGGAGGAAGAGGGAGGAGGAGGAGGAGGAGGAGGAAGAAGAAGAATCCCACCAGCCCTTGAGGGCGTGAGTGGTCTAGCGGGTTTCCTCTTCCAGCCCCCCGTCTTCCCCTTCGAGGAGGAGTTGATCACTGCTCCCTATTGATAAACAACCCCTCCCCCAGGCGACCGGCAGCCAACCAGGACCAATGCCAACACCCCATTTCTCAACAAATAATACGAAACACAGGTTGGGGCAAAATGCTGTGTCATACCTGTGGTCCCCGCGAGCACGGTGTACTGTTGTTTGATCAGGACGGCGGGGGGGATCCTCATACTGCCTGACTTGCGCAAGGCCACCATCCCTGTCCAAAATACAATACAACATGCCCTTCGCAGCTAAATCTGCATCATGCGCGCCCCCCCCCCCGCGATCACTGCGCACTGGTGCTTGACAAGGACCGCCGCGGCGCTGGCATCTTGCCCGATGTGTGCAGGCCCACCGGGCGCCACGATGGCCTCCCCGCCGCGATTGCGCCTTGGTTCTCGACGAGGATGGTGCTGGCCGGCGTGCTTCCCGACGAGTGCTGTCACGTGCGCGGGCGCACCTGGCACACTCTGCGCGTGCTCTCGACGTGGCGCACCTGGCGCGGCTGGACCATGTGGCACACATGGCGCACGTGGAGCACGTGACGCATCTGGCGCTCGAGGCGCACCTCGCCCCATCGCGCACACGGAGTCTGTGTTGGTTCCCAGTAGCAGCCTATCCACAGGCGACCGCTGAACATGCTGAGGCCCAGGTACTACTGATGTGTTGGGAGGGCGGGTGGGCGGGGAGGGTGTCTTGATCACTGTTCCCTATTAATAAACACCCCCTCCCCCACCCGGCCGGCAGCCAACCCGGAACCATGCGCACACCATACGGGCACCCCCGCCCCAATCCCTGTGACAAGAATAATACAAAACGCACTCTGCCTCCAAATTCGGAGCATGCGCAACCAACCCGATGCGGGCCATCCCCACCATCCCTGCCAAAAAACAAAACACACTACACTTTGGGGCAAAGTCTGGAGTCATGTTCGTGAGGCCCGCGGGCACTTTGTAGTGCTTTTCGACAGGGACGGCGGGGGTGTCAGCATATTGCCTGCTGCGCGCAGGGCTACCATCCATGACAACACACACAATACAAAATGCACCTCGCGGCTAAATGTGGATAGTGCGCGGCCACCCCGCGATCATTGTGAAGTGGTTGTTGTCAGGGACCGCGGGGGTAGTGGCGTATGGCCTGCTGTGCGCAGGCCCACCAGACACAATGATGGGCATTGGTTTTCGACAGGGATGGTGGGGGCCGGCATGTTTCCCGATTTGTGCTGTCAGACACGTGCGCAGGCGCACCTGACACATTCTGCACGTGCCCCGGACGTGGGGCACCTGGCGCGGCTGGAGGGAACATCTGGCGCACTAGGCGTGCCTGGCACGCTCGGGCCCCAGGCGTGCCTGGCGCGTGTGGCGCGCCTGGCTCGCGTGGCGCACCTCGCCCCAGCGTCGCGCACATGGGCTCGGTTTTGGTTCCCAGTAGCTGTCCATCAAAAGACGGCCGTGGAACATGCTGAGGCTCGGGTGTTACTGATGTGTTGGGAGGGCGGGTGGGAGTGAGAAAGACGGCTTGCTATCTGGAGGATGTCTTGACCCCTCCCCCTACCCCCTCCCCCTGGACCTGGACGGTGGGGGGGCGCGAGGTGTCAGAGCGTCAAAGATGACCTCGGCGACAAAACAGCAATCATTGATTTGTGGAGGGGGCACGAATTCAGTACCCTCCTTCTTGAATCGATCACCTCCAAGATGGCCCAAAAGCCCCCGAGGCTCCCAAGAGTGCCCCGAGAGGGCCCCAAGAGGGGCCCAGGAGTCGCCAAGAGGCCCCCAAGATGCCCCCTAGAGGCTCCCGAGAGACCCTCAAGAAGCCCGACGAGGCTCCTCCGAAGCACCCTAGCAAGGCCCCCGGGACCGCCACGAGGCACCACGAGGCCCAACGCGAAGCTCTCAAGAAACATCCGAAGAGACTCCGAGAAGCATCCAAGAGGCCACTGGCCTTTCTGTTCGCCCTCCTCCTTCTCCTCCTCCTCCTCCTCCTCTTCCTCATCTTCCTGATCCGCCGAATCCTCTTCTTCCCGCTGCCCCTCCCCATCCTCCTTCTCCTCCTCCTCCTCCTCCTCCTCCATCTCCCCCTCCTCCTCCTTCTCCTCCTCCTCCTCCAGTCTGGTTCCTTCTCCTCCTCCTCCTCCTCCTTCTCCTTCTCCTTCTCCTCATCCTCCTCCTCCTCTGGTTCCTCCTTCTCCTCCTCCTCTTCCTCTCCTCATCTTCCTCCTCCTCCTCTGATTCCTCCTCCATCCTCCCCTGGGTGGGGTACGACGGCTTCACAGCCTTTATTCCACGGCGTGCTACCCCACATCTCTGATCAAGGCAACTGGCCTGGGCATCGATTCTAGAGCTTGTGGGGTTACGCGAAGCGGGTAGGATATCAGGAGGAGGAGGACGACGAGGAATAAGGACGGTCGGAAGAAGTAAAGCAATAGCGCAGGGTGTTGAAAACATGCTATGCTGACAGCTGACAAACAAGACGGCGGTGCTGACGACGACGATGAGACTGAACATGAGACGTGAGGACGAGCAGGAGGATGATGAGAAGTAGAGGTAATGTAACGAAGCACATGGGGCTCATGAGACGGTTCAGATGTGACCAGGAGGATGCTGTGGAGGATGAGGAGATATAGGAATAGGTGGATAGGAGATGAGTAGGAGGGAAGGAAGATGAATGAGGAAAATTAATGATGGGTTCGGATGTGTCGGTCTTTCCGCTGGCTTTCGAGGGTTTCCCGACAGGGTGGGGAAACGGACAAGGATGAGGAAGAGGAGTGGGAGCAAGAAGAGAAACACGGGGGGGACGCGAAGGTGATGAGGATTGTGGTGAGTGCAGGGGGGGGGGGGGCGACGAAGACAAGGGGGAATGAGAAGAAACGGAGCGACTGATGAGCACGAGACGGCAGATGAGGAGGAGGGAGACGCGGAAGAGGGACTGATGAGTAAGTCGGGAATGGGTGTGAGGGAAGATGGGGAGGCCGCGGACGCGACGGAGAAGGAGGAGGGGGGAGGAGGATGACGATGAGAGGGGATGTGACGAGGAGCGTGGGGAGGGGAGGGGGAAGGAGAGAGGGGAAGAGGAGGAACAAGAGTGGCCAGATAGAGGAAGGCGGAGAAGAAGTGACTGTGCATTTCGGAGGAATCAGATGTAGAGAACGAGGAGGACGAGGAGGACGAGAAAGACGAAGACGGAGACGATCACGATGAGCTGATGATGATGATGCTGATGCTGATGCTGATGATGTGACGGCGGCCATGAACACGGCGGCATGGCGTGACAAATGACGATTGCTAACTGGATGTGATCACGTTGATGTGGATGTAGATATCAATGATGATGCTGATGCTGATGTTGATGCTGATGCTGATACTGATGTTACTGATGACGATGATGTTGATGCTGCTGTTGATGCTGATGTTGATGATGACGATGATGATGATGATGATGATTAGGATGATGATGGTTGATATTGTTATGATGATTGCCCAGGCCGTCCGTTATCAAGGACACGTCGAACAGCATTGCAGTTGAGAGGAGGAGCCGGGGACGGCGCAACCGACCCACCCCAGACCTCCCCCACCGACCCATCTACCGACTTGCCGCGGCCTGGCCCTGCTTGGACACCAGCATGGCTTGATGGGCCCCAACCATCACAAAACGTTTACGGACACTAATGCAAACAACCAATCAACATATAATACAACCAATACAAACAACTAAACAACCAATTAACAACTAATTGGCAACTAACACAACCAAGTAACAACCAATTAACAACTAATTGGCAACTGATACAAAACATGGACAACCACTCAACAACTTCTACAGCCAAACAATGACCTTACGCAGGACGATTCGGACGCTCACATGACCAACGGAAGCGAAAATCAATACATCCCCGCGCAGAAGCAACTAACGACATCACCATGCTTCCTGGCACTACCCGGAGTCACTCGGCCCCCGATGGATGTGCACACCGTCCATATGATACCGAACCAAACGCGGAGAAGCAAGATCATCGGGCAGAACTGGACAGAGCGAAGCCGCGACGCCGTCGAGGCCCCGGGACGGCGTCGGCCGTCGAAAACCACTGCCCCCTGTCCCCCCCCCCGCGCCAGACGACGAGCGGGCCTCACTGGCCTCGCCCTCAGGGGGGGAAGCCTGGGGGGAGGAGGAAGAGGAGGAGGAGGAGGAGGAGGAGAAGGAGGAGAAGAAGGAGGAGGACGAAGAGCGACAGCAGCAGCAAGGAGGATGAGGAGGACGGGGCGGGGGGCATCCTGGCATCCTGGATCCTCCTCCGCCTCCTCCTCCTCCTCCACCACCACCTCCACTTCCACCTCCTCCGCCTCCACCTCTCCCTCCTTGTCCTCCCGCTCCTCCTCGCCGCTCAAGCCTATCACCCTCATTTCAACGCGCCGCTTCCACGGCGTCCTTCAAGAGCGCCCGCCCCGCACATGCCAAACAAGAATTTTCAAGATCCAGGCAATCCGATTCGCTATCAGAGGAACGCAATCCCGTGCAACGAGAGCTCGCTCGTTGGCCCAGCGGCGACGTGACCCGCGCGCCGCCGCGCCGAAAACTCGGCCCCAGAGTGGAGAAAAGAGAGAGGATGATCAGGATGATCTGAGGGGAACGGAGGAGGAAGATGAGATGAGGTGCCACTGCACTCGGTCAGAGTGCGGCTCAAGCCCCGAAGTTGCTCACCGCCGCTTGCAGCGCCACCGGCAAGGCATCCCAAGATCCTTTGAAC